CAATTGCAAAGAATATAATCTGGAATGGACCGAAGAATTTTGGGTTCGACAAGGAACAAACGGAATGAAAGACGGAACGGAGAAAGGAATTTAAGAATGAGCCGATCAAAGATTACGAAAAACGTTCAATTTCTGTAATCTTTATTCCCGTTTGTGACTCCATGAGGGGTGTTGTCTTGACTCTCAATAGGTATAAAGGGACTCTATAGTTTTGCCCTCTGCTTTGCAACGTTTGATTCACTTCCGCCCATACTGCGTGTACACGCCATAATTGATGACAAAAATATGGAGCATTCCAGTGACAGCTCGGAGGAGCACCGATGCATCTCGGAGCAGAAACCGTTTTAGCATCATGCTCCGTGACGCACTCCGCCCTCACGCAGCAAATCGGGATTTAAATATCTGTCACGCGGATTCGCGTCCACCTGTTCCGAAACATCATACCACCAACGTAGAGCGATGAGATTTATGCCTTTTCCGGTGGAATATTCAACAAAAACTCAGGAGTTATGTAGAACGTTCGCTGGAGAATCGGAAAACGTATTGTTAATAAAATAAAACGTTTACTAGCACACGCATTTTAAAAGGTGAAAAATCAACTGTTTATTTTCTTGGATGCATTTTGGCAAGAATTTGTAAAAAAAATTTCCGGCAAAAATCCTCTGAAATCGTAAAAAAATGTACATAAATTTTAATAAGCCACGTGAGACCGAACCAAACTTTTTTAAAATAAAGGAATAGAATGTTTAACAGAGCACGCATTTGAGAAGATGAATAATTGAATTTTTATTTTCTTGGATGCAATTCGACAAGATGCCATATTCAGCAAGAAAATATTTTCACAACACGCAAAACAGAGAACTTTATCGAGATGGAAAGATGCATTATGTCAAATTTGTTCTTGATAAAGTTCTCTGTTTTGTGTTCTGTGAAAAAATTTTCTTGCTGAAGATGGCATTTTGCGAAAATCATCCAAGAAAATAAACAGGTAATTTTCATCTGTTAAAATGAATGTTTTGGTAAACATTTTATTCCTTTATCTTAAAAATTTTGGTTTGTCCTCTTTTTGCGCATTAGAATTTATGTACGAGATTTTATGTGAAATTTATGTGCGTATGAGAATTTTATGTTCCTAATATGTTTTCTTTCTTTCCGACGGTACAAATTCAATTTTAGTTGAAATTCCTAGAGCTGGAAGAATTTAAAGTTTTAAACATTTTAACGATTCTCTCACTCATGTCAGCTGAGCTACCTCGTATTGGGTTCTCCAGTATCTGTGCTGCCTCTTCGTATTCGTATTTAGCCTTTACGTTTTATTTTGTTGAAAAAAGTTAATCTTCCAAAAAATTTTTGTCTACTTTTATTTCAAAACTGCACATGTTGGGCACGAAAGGACTCGAAATTTTGTCCAAATTTTAGGTACGTGATACAAATGCGTGAATTAGTAAAATTTCCCTTTTTTTCCCTCTTTAATATTTAGATTGTTATTAACAGCACGGTAATGCGACAAAAAATTGAAAATTGGAAATTCTCAAATTTTTCTCTTTTTCTTGTTCCTAACCCTGCAAATCAGCCAAATAAATGCATCAGAAAATGTTGTATTCAGAATATTTTTCTCCAACATTCATTCTCTTTAAGAATATTTTATTTTCAGTGAACATTTTTCAGAGGAGAGAGAAACAAAATCAAAGCTCACCTGATCACCTCAACTTAGGTACATCAAGATTTATTACTACCGTTTGAAGAGAAAATAGACGTCTTCAACAAGCGTGTAATTCTCTAATGGCATGATAACAAATTGCAGCCTGGAATCGTCAGTTGCAAATGCCTCAATCAACGATTGCACCTCCATTGCGAGGAGGCCAAATCGCAGATATTTTAAATTTTCACATGACGTATGTTTACATTTACTTCACCTTTCGACAGCACTGCTCAATACACTGGTTGAAATTCACATTGGCACGCACAATTTTCATGGGACAGTATTGCCAAAAGTATGTACAGGCTAAGAAAGTATTAAATCATTTTTTAAAGGAATTTTAAGAGGAAGAAATTCAGGACAGACTGTCCTGGCCAGTCCCATACCAAGACAAGGCCAGACCTGCCTGCGCCAACGGCGACGGCAAACACCGCGCTAAAATTTGACGAGTTCAAAATAATATTTTATACTTTATCTCGTCATTTTTCAATTCAGTTTGTTAAAACACATATTAAATAACAGAGTTCATTAAAGTAACAGCGTATGGTGGAACGAGACAATCAGCGCGCATATGACACACAGTGCTTTCGCTGCCACTTCAAACCATTATAGTGCGATGCACTAATCCCACGAGTATTCTCGATTCGAAAATTGACGAAAGGCTTTAGCTCCGCAAGGGCGTCGTTTCGGAATACAGTCAATGGAGATAAAATCTGAGTTCCACATCGTAAATGACGCACCTAAAATTTGTTTTAGAGAAATGCAAATTTTGAAATTTCTTATGAGATGTTTTGATATGAGCTTACGCCCAAATTAACTGAATGCCACCAATTTTTTTATTAATTTATCGATTTTATTTTCACAACGCAATTGAATATGCATGCGGAGAAAATCATACGGCCGGGCTATACGAAGCGATAAAAAATTATGCAGCCGGGCTATAGTTCCTATCGCCGGGCTTTACACTTTATCGTCTGACTGTTGCTTTTTCGCCATCGATTATAAAAGACTATGAGAAATTGTGTAGAAATTCGTGTGCTTTGGAAATCATTAAATTCGATACGGAACCACCTTAATATTTACAAAACAAACATTATATTTTCCTTTAATAAATATTTTTTTTCATCAATTAAAATGAGAATAATCCATACAGGATGTGCAAACATTTCAAAATCATGAGTTGAATAACGCTGACTCCGCCAGATTAAATATTAGAGCCTAACACAAAGCGGAGCGGCGACGCACTGGCGCCTACAAACCTAACAGGGATACTTCACGCATTGCGCAACGCGTGAAGTATCCCTGTTAGGTTTGCAGGCGCCAGTGCGTCGCCGCTCTGGCTGTCCGCCTGCCGCGCCGCAGCGTGCCACGGCGCTTGAAGCAACTATTTCACACCAGATTTATTGCACAGTATCATACAAAACTGAAGGCGCTCTAATATATTAGTAATGGCAGGCATTCATCAAAAGTATGGAGCTTTCCTCGCAAAATAAATCAAGATACTACGGCCCAAAAAGAGAGCAGTATTCCAAAAACTCACCAAGTCCTAGCATCCGTAATTAGTAACGCTTAGCATACACTTTATCGCCTGGCTGTTGCTTAATCGCCATCGGCTATAGAAGGCTATAAAAAATTGTGTAGCGGGCTATAGAAGCTATTGGAAATCTTACAGCAGGCTGTAGGTCTATGGTATTTTGGAACGCAGATTCTACTGTCAATTTTTACCAGGGTTTGGCGCTCAAAAAACTTTTTCTTTCCCACAATAAATAAAAAAAATAAACACGTTTAATCGAGGCGGAGCAAAATGCATCGTATTTTCACAATTTGATTTGTTTGCCAGTTTTTTTAAAAAAAGAAATAGAAGAGGATTACACATCGACAGTGAAACTACCAAAGCGCGTATCTCGTTTGCTGTGTTTCAAAATCCCCGCTCCAATTTTCTTTTTTTGAGGTAGAACGACAGAACGAATCAATATTATTTCTTGAAATTTTTGCATAGTTTTCCTGGTATAGAGAGGAAAAAATACGGAAGTTTTCAGGAGTTGATCGTTGATCAGTTTTCCATTTTAAAACCAGAGTTTGACAGGAAGCTTGTAACGTCGCAAACCGAGATACGTGGTCTGGTGGTCTCGTCGTTGATATAATCATTGAGATCTTTTATAACGCTTCTACCAAATAACACGAATTTGCAAGCATTTTCAATGGGAGAATTTAACTTTTTTGGGAGTCGAGTTTTCTTTAAAAACTGTGAATAAAAATGAAACTTGTACATGACTTTGCGATGCGTTTTTTTATTTTTTAATTTTTTTTTTATTATTATTATATACTTTTTTCACAAAAATAAACAGTTTTTGGATTTAAACTGACTGAAAGACGGGCCGTGGCCAAGTCTTTCAAGCCTATAGCCTTTTTCAAATTGCTAAATTTTGAGATTTTAAAAAGATTGTTAAAGTAAAAGAGTGGTTAAAATAAATTTAAAGTGCAAAAACTACTACATAAGCAGTCGCTCACATAATTAAAAATAATAATACAGTCACTGCCCGAAGCTTAGGAATGATCTAGTGATATTACAGGTGTACAGGATCACAGGTATTATTTGGAAACATTGAATTAATGAGATAAGTAATATTACTGCGCCATTTTACGTGAACAAATAGCGCGCCAATAAAACACTGTTTATTTAATTCTAAAAATCATCATCAGTTCACATTTTGCATCCTCTTTGTTAAGAAATTACTATCTTTTTTACCGAAATAACGATCGACTTTCAGAACCAGGGGTACGTTCTTTAGAAGAGTGGTTGGTTTTATTTTCTTCGTGGAAAAAGGAGTAACTATTACACATCCTACATCACTGTCTCAATGCAACTTACTGAAACTCAGAGCTCCAGCATAGTTGCATCTGTCGCATTCTCTATATAAATAAACGCACATCCTCATTTCGTGGCTGGATGTCAAATCATGTCAAATTCGAGGGACTTTCGACTTCATTCACCACTAAATTCCAACGTTTTTATCCAGCGACGGCAACGCGCACATTCAGCGGCTCTCTTTAATCCGCACGCCATTCATCGCACTTCGACAGCCGGACACTAATCTTGTTTATTTTTGACCGATCTCATCAACGGTTTACTGCCAAATCTTCGACAAATCCGTCGGGTCCCCGTGTAAAGTAGGCGTATTTTAGCGTCGACCCGCAAACAGCGAAGTGTCTTCACCAGCGTTGTCTATGCCTGGAGAATGCGTTGGCTTTCCCCGTATGATCTAATGTAAAGTAGGGGGATTTTTCTGGACCCTCGGCAACGGCGCGTTTCGGCGGATGGTCCGGCTGTCAGGTCTGGCAATTAGTGAGTTCGAGTGCGCGATGTACAGTGACGAGTGTCGCGAGTTGCAGGAGCGGCTTCATGCCCATTTGAGCGCCAATGGCTGCCCCCTCCTACCAGGTGATTGGCTCGTTTCAGTGTGACGTCACTTTGGTCATGATAGGGCCCAACGGGCTACAAAGTGCGATAGCGAAAAAAGCAGATGGTGATTGCGAGTTGTGGATATGTTTCCAGTGACGTCACTGGAAAAATGTGAAAAATAGCTATAACCTTGCGTTCATTCACGTTTTTCAGTTTACTTGGTGGATACTTAAATATCAAGCACTCTTTCGTATGGGAATGTTTTCCGACGTATCCGATGTATCGATGTATCCATCGTTTACAGGGTACTCGTGATCACCCCTTAGATGGCGCAGCGATGCACCGATGGCTGGACCGCGTTAAGCGGAAAGGAACCAAGCCACATCTAACGGTACAATTTAATTATTCACATAAGAACGATTGTGCGGATTTATTTTGCAAATGTAGGTAAGTTTCTGCATAGTGCGAAGCATATTCCTTAAAATTTTCAAAAGAATTTGCACAAACGTTCTCTCGGAGAAAATTAAATTGCCCAGTTAAATTTGGACGTATTTCTACCAAACAGACCTATGTGGAGGTGAGAAATATGGGGTGTGCTCGTTAGTTCCCTGGCCGTAAGAGTGAATGGGAATAATAAAGCGCCAGTGACGTCAGCGGCAATGATCGAGACCACGCGCTAGGGGGAGCTCGTCGTCGGGGCGCTGTAACTCATGAGCCCTGTCCACAAGGCTCTCTTGCTATGCCCGCGGCTCATGAGTTCCGCATTCAGTTGCACATAGGTCTGTTTGATAGAATGCAATATCCCGCTTTTCCAATTCTTCAAAAGGAACCACGCCCACTTTTACATTGCTTCTTATGCAGCTTCCACGAGCACACCTCATATTTCTCATCTGCACATAGGTCTGTTTGGTAGAAATACGTCCATTTGGCATAAGCTGAAGTGGCTTGGTTCCTTTCCGCTGAACGCGGTCCAGTTGTATTCCCAGCGGCGTAGTATGTGAAAATGGCTCATGAAATGACTCTGCAAACATTAACACGACGCAATCACCTCTGAAAAAGTGTAGTTCGCAGTACGCAGATTGCGCTTCATGACGAAGAGCGGTGCGATTTTTGCACAAACAGTATGCAATTTCGGCGGGGCCAAAAGACTGGTACACTAATGTAGAACAGAGAAATTCCTTGCTTCGAGTCCATCGAAATATGCGTTGGGAATTGGCACATTTTTGGCCACCTCTTTTAATATCTCTGCATCTACTTCTTTTTAAACTGCGAATAATATTAGTAGCCTTGAGTAGAACAATCCCAACTAAATTTTCCCTCTTCCAAGGTATCATGAGAAAATTGCCACGTGGCACCATTGCCTCCAATGAACTTTGCAATTTGTGAACATTGTGATTTGTATTCTCGCGTCTGGAATTAGATATCACTATCGAATATTTTTCATTCATGCATATACAGGGCCTCTCCTAAGTATATGGTGAATGTGAACGACTTGAATTTTTCAAAAATTAATAACAAACTTTTCATTTTAAGTTATTCGGTAAATATGGAATACAGAGTATCTGTAATGGATATTTCAAAAATGTGTGCTTATTCTGTTCTTTGTTGTAAAGCTGCAAATTGGTTGTTTCAGTCGCATGCCTTCTTAAATTTTTCATAACTTTCGGTCAGAGGGCTTTTATTTTGAACATATGTACATATTTTGTAGACTGTCATTACTAACCACATGCTTGCTTGACAATTAAAGAGCAGAACTACACTTAGAGCCCGAACAAGCATTCAGTTATACCTATGGACGACAGGGCTTACAGCGGAAAGTAGTTACATCCTTATGTCGAGAGGACAACGATGGCTAAAGTATCCCAAGCGCCATGCAACGTTCCAAAATTTCCGCCGTCATTTTATTTTTTTACAGAGAAATTGTTCAACGATGCTGTCCAAAACTTTCACTGAATTTTCTATGTGCTGCCAATTAAATTCAGAGAAATTTTCAAACAGATTCAAACAAATATTGCTGTTTAAAAAAATGAAACGACGGCGGAAATTTTGAAACGTTGCATGGGGCTTGTGATATTTTGGCTGGAAGGTGATGATATTTGATCGCGAAAGTCCTTTTCATAGTAGTCAAAGTGAGTTCACAGTAAATCCTTCACGGTTGCCATATTGAATATCAGCGGATTAAGCCACGGTTGAAAGTATGTCTTTGAATGATTCATATATCAATTTAAGGAAATAGGCAAGTCAAAGATCTGTGGCGTTTAGACGTTATTCATACAACTTGCATCTCCTCCCAGCCTTGTTCCTGTTCCCTTGTGGCTTAAATGAACTGAGTTATTCTTGTGCTTTGTTCATACGTTTATACGCAGCACTTCAGTTCATCAACTGGAAAATATTAGACACTCTGAACTCTCGTTAGCTACATTAAGAGGCTGAATCACCGAGATTTGGCGCGGTCTGAGACGCTGCTTAAATTTATGGACAGTTAGAGTGACAACACGCTCGTTATGACCCGCGAAACAGCTCGCTATTCGATTTACGGACGTATCATTCAGAGCCCCTCGACGGTGAAACTACCAAACCACGTATCTCGTTTGCGGTGTTTAAAAATCTACGCTC